TTTCTTTACAAAATTTGAAAAACTTTTTTCACATTTTTTCACACGTAAATACGGTGTGAATATAAAAATAGGATCAATGAAAAAATTTTTTACTCAATATAGATAGCAAATCATAATCAATGTAATAAAAAGCTAATAATATTGAAGGAAATATTTTATTCGCTCATACACCTATGTATCTATAGTCGTCGCTTCCATCAATAAATAAATGAAGTGATGAACGAAATATTTATTTGTTTATTTATTCCACATCTATTTATTTTGAGTCATCCTCCTATATCAAGATAGCTCTGTGTGACGTAATATAGAAAATAAGATGTAGAAAAACTTGTTGTAAAGAAGGAGCTATTACAATTGTAATAAATGATGATAAATAAACATGACAATAAAAAATTGTCTCAAATTTTTCCTCTTTTAATATGAACTGGAATTTATGATGCTCTGGCAGTATCTTTCATTGCAGAATGAAAATGTGACAAAAATGAAAAAGGAAAAATAAAAAAGAGTAAAATAAGAGAAAGAGGAAGGGAGTTAAGGAGCAGAAATGGATAATAAGATAGAATTACATATGTATCCAATGCTTCTTGAATTCATTTTTGCTTCATTCTTCTTGCTTTAATTTTTTCTCTTCTCCTTTTTTTGGGACAGACATGATGATATATTTGTTCTGCTGCGGGGACATTTATTAGCATAAAAACGATCTTTTTACATTTGTAAGCTCCTATGTTCCGCATATTATGAATATCGTGTGCCATTTTCTGACAGTTTCTGGTATTAGTTTCTCACATTTTGATTTATTTTCATCACTCTCATTTGTTTCAATCTATTTTAAGCTTTCTCATGTTTATTTTTTTGGCTAATTTATTAGGAAGAGAACGACTGTTTGTAAAGTCGTTATTAAATTCTGGTTTTGAAATATTTTTCAAATAATTGCTAACCCCTTTTAAATTACTGTTAAAACGTAGAAGAAAAGAGCTGAAACATTTAAGTAATATGAACTTTAAATAAAACATATGAAAAGTAAATTCGTAAATTTTCGTTCATTTTTATTTGAAACCAAGAAATTTTTTTTCTTCTTTTTTTATGAAAAACAAAATTATACATTTTTGTATTTTAACTTATTTTCTATGTAAAATTTATTATTTCATCGTTTTTAATTCTTAAACGTTTTTTCTTTCTTACACAAAGTCTTTAAAATTCAATTTATTTTCTTAAATATTTTTTTTAGTTCTCGAAAATTTTCTTCGCTTTCTTGCTTAATTTAATTAACAAACAGCTATCTTTCTTGTTAAAGAATAAATATTTACAACCAAATCGTTATTTTTCTTCTTGTATTCATCCCACATTGGTTGATAAAAAGTTAAATAATTTTTTTTCTATTTTTATTCGTTTGTTAAATTACACAACCCAACTTTTATAGCGTACTTTTATCAGTATACATTTTATTTTTGATAATCAGAAAAAATTCCCATAACAATTTACTTTTTCCTTCTTCAAAAATTGACCGAGAAAAACCACTTTTTTCTTTTGTAGCTTTTCAAAATTGAACATAAAAATATATTATAAAATATAATTTTAAATTAATAATTAGAAATTTTGAGCTTTTCCTTTAATCTTGACGTCTTTAATTTTGAAAGTGGGTAGTTAAAAAATTAAAATTCATTTTTCAATTAAAAATCTGTAACAGCCACAATAAACGGGCTTTTACTTTAAATTTTAATTTCTTTTTTCCTCATCATTATAATAACGAAAAATTGGATTTAATTATCTAAAGTTTTTATTAGAATATTAAAAAACATAAAATGCAATAAAAATTCTTCTTTCTAGACCTTTTTCCCTTCGCCCTTGTAAAATTTCCTATCTTCTCTTTTTTTCATCATACAATATCGTACATATTGTGATGAACAAAAAGTTTATTTGCTTAAAAAACGACAGAACAAAAAAAATGTTGGTAAAATTTTTGCTATTAAAATTCATTTTTTTATTATTTTTTTGTCTATCTATATTTATATCTATATGTTCACAATATTCACATGTTCTTGTCCATATATACACATTTTGTAAGAAACGTACAGAAATTTATCTTTTTTACTCTATTCATGAAAAATATCATCGTCCATATTATCATTCATTGTCGTATATTTTAGATGGTAATATTTTCTGCATAAGATTTTTTTTATTCTTGTCTGCAACACTTCATAAAAGTTTTATTGAAAATGAAAATTGCATTTTAGAATAATATCAACAGGAAAATATTCCTATATTTATAAAATTAAAGATTTATTTTCAACGTAAATTATTGTGCGTTAATTTTTTCTAAGACGAAAAAACCAATATTTGAAATTGTATTTAACACAAACAAATCTATTCTTTAATTATTTAAATAAAATAATTTGAAAATTATGATATGAAACCGTCGTAAAATATAATAAAAATATATAAAATATTTATTACAGTCTAATATATAAATTTCAAAATCTTCAAATCATCATTTTTATCATTTACGAATTCAATTCATCTCACAATCATCAACACCATTTTATATAAACGTGCATGAGCACCTATATCTGTCAAAATAAAAAAATTTCACCATTGTTGTTGGCATCATAAAGTATAAAAAAAAAAAAACGAAAATAAAATTACCGCTCACAACAATTGTTTTGATTGGTTGTGATGATGGAACAATTTATCAACAATTTAGTTATTAGAAACTGTTCTGGCAAAAGAATATACTGGGGGTCCTCGATTTGAGTAGTTGTTTTGTTCCAAAAAATTTCTACTCAAATCGAATCTAAACTCTTTTTAAACCCGTTAATTTTATATCGATTTTTTAAATTTTTACTTTAATTTTGTAACTTTAGTATTGATTTTTCGATCAATATGATAAGTTGACGCTTATTGCAGTAAAATTTATGTTTTAAAAATATTTTCTGAAATGTTTTTATCAAAAATATTTGTTTTGTAAACAATTCAAATCGAAGAAAACAGGAAGAAATCTACTCAAATCGAATTTTTTTGGTGGGTAAAAAATTTTCTGTTCAAATCGAATCTACTCAAATAGAATCTACTCAAATCGAGGACCCCCAGTGTCTTTTAATTTACTTTTCTTTTGAACAAACCAAAAATAATTTTTGGTTCTTTATTTAATTGAGAACTTTTTTAAATCGTGACAATTTTAAAAGAAAGAATCCAATAACTGTCCATATTGACCCTTTTAGAAAAACCTTGCCACAAAACAGTATTTTTGAAAAATTTCGATTGAAGATTTCAAAGAAAAAGAAGTTGAATATATAAAAATTAAGAAAATATTAATCATATTTATATGAACAATGATTCGCCAAGTTATTGAGCAATGCTAATAGGGTTTTCAATCCCGGGATCCCGGATCCCGGGATCCCGGGATCCCGCGTTTTATTTGGTCCCGCAATCCCGGGATTGAAACCAGCTTCAATCCCGGGATTACGGGATTGAGTTAATAGTTAAAAAGATTTAAAAAATTCCTAAATTTTTTAAAAAATTCTTAAATTTTGTAAAAAAATTCGTTCGCAAGAAATACAAATAATTCAAAATCATTGAAATTTTGATTTATTGCTTTTAAAAACTACAAAACACTACTGACGTGCACAATACTCACTGAAATTTTGTTAATATGCCTCATAACAAAAAAATGTATGTAAGTGACGATTTGTTTTTCTTAATTTTATTTTTACACTTAAAAATTACTGATTTCACATATTTTAACAACTCACTTCCTAAAGTTAAGCAGTTGCTAAAAAATCACTGCGATTAAGCGTAACTAACGTCCAATTTTCAGGAATTTTGTTAAATGTTCGTTATTGTTTATTGATGTTTCATGAAATGTATTTTTAAGATCAGAAATTTTACTCTGTTATATATGAGTTAGCAAAAATTTTTAAATTATTGTAGTAAAAACCTTAAATGAACAAAATAATAGTAATTTGAAAATTCACGAAAATATCACTCAATACTTTGATATAAAATAAGAATTTTTCTCTCAAACGAAGATTTTATGTATTATTTATTGAAAATTTTAATAATCTCTTAATCCCGGGATTCCCCGGGATCCCGGGATCGAGAATTTTCAATCCCGTAATCCCGGGATTGAAAATTTGGACCGGGATTGAAAACCCTAAATGCTAAAACATAAATAAAGTTTAATATTTTAGATTTGGGTATTTGATTTAAAATAAAATTTCATGATTTTTTAACTCTTTACAATGAATTATTAATTTATTCTCAGATTAATTTACTTGTTTTTTGTTCGTATGAATCGTATAAAATTAATTGACTTTAAATTAATTAATCGTTGTTGTTCGTCTTATATTTTAATACAATACGCGTATTTATATATGAGATAAAATGTTTAAATAAACCAGTTTGATTGCTTTTAGGTTTGCAATAAAAATTCCACGTTTTGTGGAGAGCCTCATCAATAAATTATCACATCGTAAAAATTTTCCACATCTTTAAAAAATATAAATTAATTTTAAAGTTTAACGAATGATAAAAATAAATTTTAACAATTTTGATAGTTTTTTTCAACATTTCCCTCAATTTATTTTCAATATAACAAAAACCTTTTCATTCCATTATTTAAGTTTTTGAATTGAATGATAGTTTATTTAATGTCTTTTCAATTCTCTCTCACATTTTTTTTACATAATACACACACACACATCATCATGTCTTTCGTCTATCACTGCAGTGTTAAACATTTCATTTACCATATTTGCCGTTCACATTCTTATATATTAAATCCTAGCTTGTTCTCATCGTAATCATCAAGAGTATTTCAGTTTAAATTGGAAAAATAAAAAAATAACACTGAAAAATGTGAAAGGAAGAAGGAAAATGAGGAAAATTAAAAACCATTTCAAGCAATTTTAGTTTTTCTTTTCTCTTTTTGTTCTCTCATTGGATAAATATACAATATTTAACCGCTTGAGATTTTTATTGCTACAATTTGCTTCGTTTCTTCAAATGATCATTAAAACAGGACATGACAAGAATAAAATTCTCAGTTTAAATGAAATGAAAAATCTTTTGTCGAGTTGCTTGAATTTTGATTTCTATTTTCTGGTGTTTTTCTTCATCTTTCTACATGAGATATTTGATTTTTCTAAATTATTAATAACATTTATTTAATCAAGAGCCGATTTAAAAGGTTTGGAAATTTAAACTGATTATAAAGCATTTGAAAAGTACAAATCACTTTTGTGAAATAAAATAAGGAAAAAAAAACTAGAATAAAGTGACTAAAGATGAGAGAGCCAGTAGACAAATGGCGTTTAGCATTATAAGTCAATGATGACAAATATGACGACGGCGATGATAGTAAAATAATGAAAAAAATGAGTATTAGTAATTAGACACAACTTTCTTGTTCTGAAAAAGACAATGGCGTCTTAACTGTTACAAGGTCACGTAAAAATTGTTTGTTGTTTGTTGATGATGTTAATAATGGTAATGTTTGAGTGTGATAATTATTTGATTGATATTGAGATGCAACCCCACTATTTGTAATAGAAGTATAAGTTGGCGTTGTAGCAGTACTAACAACACTACCCGATATGAGCATAGTCGACGGATTCGGATTAGAGGAATGCGTTAATGGCGATATCAATTGATTATATTGATGTGATGTAGAATTATGTTCATTCATCAGTACATTTCCTCCAGCAGTCTTTAAGCTTCCATTATTGAGATTCTGCCCACTTGAGCCGAGTAGCGTTGCTGTTGATGATTTACTATAATTACAATGATCAATTTGAGCGTACATTGTAGGATCGTCAAAATACGCAGAATATGCTGGTGGTAGAGGCTTTTTTGTAGTGTGATTAAGGATATTTTTTGTCTCGTCTTTTGGCATCTGTAATGTCAGCTCAGCATAATGAACTTCACCCGCCTATAAATTGTTTAGAGAATTGAAAAATATATAAGAAAAAAATATTTGCATAATTCATTATTCATAATAAACTTTAGAGGAATGAAAGGAATTGATTTTTTAAATTACAAAATTTTCATTTTAATGTTTTTTAATCAAATTAGGTATTTTTCAAAATCAAATTGTTGCAAAAAAAATTAATTTTTTTGGAGACAAAACTGAAATAAATATTTACAAAATATGTAAAACCAATAAAAATATGGTAATAATATTTATATGCTAATAATTTTTCTTACCCCTTTTATATATGCTTTCCTCTCATCCATAATGCTCCGAGTGATCTCATGACTATTTGTAAGGGCATTATTTAAAGCTGTTGGAGTCTGATTTGCTGACTTTAATTTATACTCTGGATCTGTTTTTATTTTTATTTTAAGATATATTTTATTACACAAGACAAAAAACAAAGGCAGAAAAATTAGAGAAAGAGAATAAAATATTGTTAAATAAAAAGGGATAAAAATCGTGAAAAAAATGAAAAATGGTTTGACATGGTTTGGGATTTTTTTTAAATATTTGTGTAAATTTTTTTAAATCTCATTATAAGTTTAAAAAGAAAGACATTTTTGATGTCATGATTGAAATAGAGCTTTCATGCACGAAAAAATTAATCATTTTGAATCAAAAAGCATAATTTGAAATGATTTATTCGAATTGAATTGACTTTTGCATATAACATTTAGTTTTTTTATTAAAGAAAAGTATTCTTTGCAATCCAATAACAATAGGACAAAATAATTTCCTTTTGGCATTACTATGAATAACAGTTTCGTTACTAAAGTAAAGAAAAAAAACATTTTTATTTACATTTTGCTTTTACCTTCTGTGGATGGTACAACATCAGGATTCTTCTCATCATACATCTCTTCCGATTGACTCAAAGGCACCGAAATTTTCTCTTTAATCGGCAAATTGCCAGGACGTTGTTTGTTATTTGATTTTTTACTATTGGCAGTACGAATTTTCAGCACAACAATAATACCAATAATCACACATACGAGTGCAGTCAAAAGACCAACTAGTATTCCAAATGATAACATTGTTGAGCTATCAAATGTTTCATATTGACCTAAATTTTGTTGTGCATTTTAAATTTTGAAGAAAATTGAGATTTTTTTTTGATTTAGGATTCAATATGTACGTTATATTTATGATAGATTTTTTTTTAAATTTATATGAAAAAGAAATAAATAAACAAAAGTATTAGTCAAATTGTCAATATGTGTACTCAAACTCAAATTGTTTCAACGATGAAAAATAAATTTTGTCAAAAACAAAATAAAAAGTTTTTCATCCTCAAGCACTCAATTGAACTTGAAACAATTTTAGAAAAGAAAACATGTCTAATCTAATGTTGATATGATGACAAAACATTGCTTTGCTTACCCGTTTGTTTTTCTGCCGCTTTTAGTGTGTATGCTTCAAGCATCACAGAATCACTTCGCCCTTTTACATTCATGGAATAAATAAAGATTTTTAGTATCTTGCCAGCATCAAGTCCATTTACTGTAAACACAGGATATTTTGATGAAATATTCGCTTGCAATACATTTGTTTGATGATCAAATATTTCCATGATAAACCACTGACGTTGTCCACCATCAAAGCCTATTTAAAATTTTTTATAAATTTTGAATAAGTTATTGGTTGTTAATCTAATTATATTATTATATTGTAAAAGCTGACACAATCATTCTTAGGAAAAATTTACATTTTGATTAAAATCTAACAAAAAGTCTGAATTAGATGATTTAAAATTTTGTAAACTATAATAATAGATCTATTATGTTCCGAATTTTAATCAAATTATTGCACATAATATCTCGGATTTTTCAAACAAAGACATCTGAACCTCTAACTTTATAAAAAATAGCTGATTGAATGTTTTCCTTTTTTTGGAAACACTCACTTGCACTATTTACCAAGCTTCATATACATTTGCTAAACAAATTTACTTTCTGCCTTCTATCAAAAAGTGTATATATTCTTGACAAAATGGAATTCTAAATGACCAGTGAAGGCTTTAAATGAATTATTTTGTACACATATAAATGAATGTGGTCATAGCCAATTCATCAAGGGATGTTACCCTAAAAAAGTTTTCAACAACTTTCAATGTTATTTTTTGGGGCACATAAAAACAAGTAGAACAAGAACGGAAGAAGCAATTTAATGTACGAGAAAGAAACTCATCATGTTAGGAGCTAATATAAAAGTTATACAAGATGTAGGAAATGCTGTTGTCGCCCGTGACTGGTTAAATGGATGTTCATAATGTAAAGAAAGGGTATGCACGTATACATATTATATATATCCACACAAGGATATTACGAAACAAAAATAAAAGCGAATAAGATATACCATAGAATTATACCCATGAGAAATATTGGGTTTATATGGGAAAGGGACATAGTTTTCTCCAGTTTTCTCTACAAATTTTTCACTCCTTTGTCGCACACATATACAGCTCTTTTGCTCTCATTTTTAAAATTTCGTTTAACATTTTGTTAAAAAATATAAAACGTTTAAATTTTCTCTGGAAACAAAGGCAAACATCAAATATTTTAAATAAAGATTATTTGAGTTTTCAGTTCAATGTGAACTTGCAAACTTAAAAAAGGTTATAAATATTATTAAAGATTATCCTCTCTTTAAGAAATTTGATACAATTATTGCGCTATATTGAATATGTTATTAATTTTCTGCACGCTTTACTTGTGTTTGCATTAAATCAAATGTAAATAAAATATATAGTTAAAAATAAGTAAAATCATATATACATATACATAGAAGGATTTATAACTTTTATGTACTGGCTTGGCAATTGAAAAGGGTCGAAAGGGATATTTCGATTATAAATGCTTCCCTTCTCAGTGTCTACAGTATTCACATTCATTAATTTTTTTATATTCCATATTAGGGGAGCAAATTTCTGCGATGTTGAGTAAAAAGAGAAAAGAGTATGAGCAAAGTGAATAGTGAGTCTATAGAGAGAAAGTGTATAATGATCTAGAAAAGGAAATTATTTTTAATGAGGAAATGGTTTTTAATTATGAAGATTCATTTATTCTTTTCATTCAATACTGCATAATATTTTCTTTGTGTTTTTCTCTTTTACTAACCTTCAATGCAATCAACTTCTAGTGATTCAGAGGTTTGATTAACAAGCGTACAATTATATGGAATATCTGGTTTTCCGGCTGCAATCAAATGAAATACGCATGGATCCTTTTGCTGCCCCACTGCATTGTTCGCCCAACATAATATCGTGCCAAAGTCCATTTCCTATACAGAAACGAAAAATTTAAAATGGGAAATTCTATTGTTAGTAATTTAGGTCATAAAATTTCTCGTTCTCAACTCATCATCATCATCATCATAAAACATGTCATATTATGCTTCAAAAATGTATGAAATAATTTAGAACTTTTTGGAAATTTAATTACATTCACTCATTTATTAGCAAATAAATAACATCATGCTTATTTCTATCTTTGTTGAAACATTCACTTTATTATTTAATCTAACTGCTTAATTATTCGATGAAACTTGTCGATTTGTCTTTATGGTGCATAGAGTATGAAGCAAGAGATGGGCAAAGTGGAATATAAAATTTTTTCAATAAGTATACTGTCGAATTTTTCTTCATTGTGTTGAATATTTCTATGGTTAAAATACATCGTCAAGGTTTAGACAATTTTTGAAGGTAAATGATTTTTTTTGTCTGAAATTTTACGCTTGAGAGGTTTTTAAGGATTGTATTAGCACGAAATTACAATTGATAAAAAAAAATACAGGCCCATCTCTAATTGTAATTTCAAATTCTATTGCATTAATATTGACATAGCAAAGCAATTGCTTTTGCTCCTGCTATGCTATGTAATCCTCATGAATGTTTTAAATGTCATAAGACCTTATGTTCTTGTTTTTTATGTGCAGAATATGTACACGTCTAAAAACAAAAGGCGGTAAGGTAGTAATAGAATTATAGCAATAAAAAGAGGTAAAATATTCATTTTGAGATATAAGATTTTTAAACCTATTGAAATCTTTTGAATTTTTGACTATTTTGAATGAATAAAAAATTCTTTATTTAGAAACTTGTTATCTTTTTTTTTTCTTATTGAGAAATATCTCAAAATTTACACATACTTTAAAATGACTTAATGGATTATTGAATTTGTTGTGCAGAATTGAGAATATATTTGCGTATTTATTTATTATTTGATGATGGTTTAAGAATTGTTTTGAAGCAAATATGTATTTAAAAAGCTAGTTATTATTTTAGAAACATCAAAAAAGTTAATTTAATTTTTTTTAAACAAAATTCATAAATTTATATTTTTTGTATGCAAAAAATGGCAGATAGGACGAAAGGTTCTGAAGAAAGCAGCACCAAATGCAAACTCAAAGGAGAAATAAAAGAACATGGAATGAGATAGATACATACTCAAAAGAAGAGAGAAAGAGAGTAAAACTTTAAAATGGCCCAAAGTCTTATAAAATAAATATTTGATTATCATTAAATATTCAAATAAGAATTTTTCCCTTATCTCAACGAACACAAAGCAATGAAAAAAATAGAAATGCTTGTAGGATGAGAAAAGTTGGAGAATGGAAAAGGTTTTTTTCTTTCGTTCCTTGTTCTTATTATTCATTTTTCGAAGAACTTTCTATCGTGATGAAGCTAAAGGATAAACAATTTTTCTTTTTGTCTAATGGCAAATAATTTTCATGGACTCGTTGTTGTTGTTGTTGTTGATGATGCTGTTTTATGTATGCTTAAATAATTAAAAGTGTTTATTTAAAATCAAACATTTTTAACTTATTTCTCATTCTTCACTCTGTGGGTTTTTTCTTATTCATACACATTTCAACTTTCATTTATGTCCATAATTTCTTGTTCAATATAAACCCATGATGAAGAATTTTTAACAGTAGCCATACTAAAAGCAAACAAACCATATGAGGCCTGCTCTAAATACATAATGCCTCACAAACATATTATATGCATGCTTCTACTGCTGTGTCTCTGCTTCCTTTAGCAGCTATCACAATACTGCACCTAAATAAATGTCCACTTCATGACAGTTTCCGTATGCATTTTTGGAAATACATTAAAGAATAACAGAGTGAGAGCAAAACAACAGAAAAAGGAGTAAAATACTGCTTCCTTTGTACATAACCACAACAAATGACATGATGCGATGATGGAAAAATTTCCACACACAACGTTATAGTCAGTCAGTCAGTCATTCTTGCTGCGTTTACATGAGAAAATTCTCATATGTTTCATTGCATAAATAAATTCATAGTGGGAGAACTTTTGCCGTTTTAAAAATAAAAATCATTTTTTAAAGCATAGAAAGCAAACATACCTTCACTGGCATATACGACAGCGTTGATGCTTGTGATGAATGTATTCTATAATCACTTTGCGGCATTTCAAATGTTTCTGCTGTATTGTTAAATGACCATTTAAATGATTCCGGTGGAGGATAAGCATCAACTTCACATAAAATTTCTGCTGCCTCATTTCGTGCCACACCATAAATGCGTTTTTGTTCATTGCGACATATTGGCTTATCTGTAACGAATGTAAAGAATGGGAGAGATTTCTGGTAAAAAATTCCAAGAAATTAAATTGCTAGCAAAAAAAGGAAATAAAATCGAAATGAATTGATATTTTCTTTTTCGCATCTCTTCGTGTATCATTGATGGTATGTAATAAAAGAAGGAAATAGGAAGCAGAGGAATTTTTTTCTTTGGATATGGAGCTATAAATTCTAAATAGGGAGAAATGATATAAAGAAAGGAAATTGAAGGGACGATTTTAAATGAAAATTGCGTATATTCGAAACTTTTTCTTTGTCCTCTATAATTCTAGAATCATTTTAAAATGATTTTTTTTTTTCTAAACGATAATTTGATTTTAAAGATTGGATAGGAAGGTTTTAAAATGCACTTATGCACAAGGAAAGAAAACCCCATTTCACTCAAGTTTTGTTTTGCATTTAAAAACTAGGACTTAAACAAGCAATGGCCAACTTTTTTTGAAATATTCGGTAATTATGGTCAAAATTACATATATTGAATGCAAATAACTCTTTACAATTAAATTAAACACATAACCAAACTACTTCAGATCTACTGATAAAATATCTATTGATTTCTTTAAGTATATATTTCTGTTTTGCTTTTTAATCAATATGTTAAAGAAAATATTTTTATTGCAATATTTGTTCCCATCAAAATGATTGATTTTCAAAATTTTGTAATCACACAAACTTTGAGTTCTAAGTTAATATAAAAGTTTCGAGAAAAAAAAATGGATCAATTTTGGCATAACAAAGTTAATATTTGAGCGAAAAGTTTTCATATTAACAAAAACTTCAATTCCATATACACATAGATGTGCTTCAAACCGATAAATAATGTAAAAAATAGTTATAATGTAATAAATTCTAATAAATAGATAAATAGATAGATAAATTCTAATTATTTTAATGATCAGAACTGACTAATCACTAAAGTGTCACTTAAAATTAAATCATAGTTTTTTAACAAAGAAATTTTAGTGTTTCCAGAAAATAATCTCAGTTCTAATTTGTTCAATTAACTCTTTTTCTTAACGAAAAAGCTTAATTAAATTTAATTTTAAATAAAAATAAATTTATTATTAACAAATAAGTCATTATGTCGAAAAAAGTAAAACATAATGAAGTATAAAACATAAAAAGTGAAGTGCAGTAAAGAAAAAGAGAGTAAAAATTCAATTTCGTTGATGAAAAAAGCTTCATATGTATCATATAATTCATAACAAAAATATATAAAAATGAAAAAATTAAAGCAAGAAAACGAAAAAACTTTTATAACTGAGCGTCTTCTTCAAAATCTTTTTCTATACAGAAATGCTTCTAAATTTTCATTTTCTTTATGATGATCATCATAGATATATAAATTAAGTTTTGTGTGCACTGTGTGCCTCACTTCTTTTTCTCACTGGACATAAAATTTAATTTGAAAATTTTTCCCACCACTGATACTGCTCTATGTTTTACGTATTATACGATCAACATCATAGTTGTCGTCATTGTCCTTTTTGCACATTTTGTGGTACATCGGTAGATAGAGACAGTGAAAAAGCATTAGACAGTCAACATATTATTTCAACTTTGTCTTTTTGTGAAAAATTCACATTCAGGGTGCAGCAGAGAGTGAAGAAGAGAGAAATGGTAAAAGGTTTTTTTTTCAACAAAAGTGCACATCTGACAAGCATCACTAAGAATTGAGCATGGGAAAAATCGAAAGGAAAAAATGAGATGGGGAAAAATAAGCAGCAGCTATGTTGTTGGAAAGGTGAAGGTATAAAGCTGAAGTATAAACCAGTGTTCTCAAACTTTTCAGGCTACGGAGCAGTTAAACATGCATTCATCTTCCCGAGCCACACTGGCAGACATTATTGATACCCCTAAAACTTTCTCACAGAGCAGTCAAGTTCCGCGCAGCATAGTTTGAGAAACACTGGTATAAACAGAAAATGAGGAAAGAACAGAACGTTGTAAAGGAGATAGACGTTTTCATTTTCATCCCTCATGAATAGATATCATTTTAAATAATTCAGTGGCTGAAAGTTTGTATCTCATTCGACGAACATAAATGCAAAAGCTGTGGAAAAAAAAGTCGTGAGAAAGTTCGTGCTTTATGCGCATTTTAAAAAATATTATGAGATGAGATGGATAAAAAAGCGTTGTAGCTTTTATTAATCGTCAGTAGTTTTTCAATAAAAAGATGTTTTGTCATATTCTGTTTTTAAGCATAATTTACTAGGGTGAGTCTTTGAAAATAAGCCCTTATACTTAGTGTTTTATTTTTTTAAATAATTTTTTACTGGAACTAGCTAAAGTTTAATTTTACGAAAGTCGCTGGAAGTTTATTTCTAAGCCACAAATTAAAGTCACGAAAAGTTAAAATTTTGTGTTAATTTGTCAATTGACATGGACTAACCCTTAGTATAATAATAAAAATACTTATTTATATTTTATGTGTTACTTAATAAAAAAAAAAGTAAAACTCAATGATATATAAAGTATAAAATATGTTCTCCTAAAATAATTTAAACACAAGAAAAACATTAACGTTAACTTACACATAACTTTTAATTCAACAACATTGCTTTCACCATCTCCCTCGACATTTGATGCTACACAGGTATAATTTCCAGCTTGATATCTTGTGACTCCTTGCAAGGCAAGACTATCACTACTCATGATTGTTCGTTTTGCATTGTGTGCTATTGGCAAACCCTAGAAAGAAGATAATATAAAATACATGGGATGAATTTTTTTGCCTAGTTTTCTACTTTATATCACATACATTTGCATATCTCAACGAGATTTTTTTTTACTAAAAAGAGACTGTGCAAATGTTGCCGCTGTTTTACAAACCTTTCGTGAACATTTATTCGTTCATTGAAATGGTAATAGCTTAAGTTTAAAGTATGAAAATAGTTATAATAAATTATTTTCATTGTTGTTTTTGTTACAAGATTATTAAAGGTTTTCGTAGTAAAATTCTTCAAACATAGTTTTTAATTTGAAACAATATGCCATCATTTTATTTCTATTTATGCAATTTTATAGCATTTAAACAGTTTTATCTTTTTTGTCTGAACATATAGAAAAAAATTTATGTTTGTAAAAATAAAAAAAATGACATTTGTATTCTATTCTGACTTTTTACTAGAAAACTAAGGATTTCACAATTCACATAAATTTTTCAAAGCAGGTTTATTGAACCGCATGAAGTCGTTTGTAGAATGAATTTCGATTATTACGTAATAAAATTTGCATAAAATGTAGAAGATACCAAGAAATGATTGCTGAATGATTAAATAGAATTGGATTTATTAGTTGTCAAGAATTTTCATTATTTCCTCAATTATATTTTAAATATTTCAAAGGTTATACTCATTTGTCTGTTATGACGGACTTAGAGCGGAATGACAGAAAGAAAAATAAACCAAATAACATGATAAATAATTTGATCAAAATCTGATAGATGAAACGCTTTCTTTTATGGAAACCAATTCATTCATTCATTTTATCTATTTTATTCTGTAAATCTTTTTGAAGCTTATATTAAATAAGAAAAGGAAAAGTAAGTCATAAATCTTCATTTAATTAAATGAGGATTATTTTGTAATGATAATTAGACAATGCTTGCATTTGCAGAAAAAAAATTAGACTCAAAAGATCAAATTAATCTCGATAGCTTGCAAAAATAAATCTGCAGGGGGGGTGTTTAAAATGTTTTTTTCGATTTCTGTTTTTTATAAAATTACGATTGATTCATACGATGATGTCTTTTACTAATTTTTCTAATTTTATATTTATATATTGTATATTGCCTTTAGATTTTGAAAATATATTTATTTCTCAAAAAAAAAAAATAAAAATTATGACAATTTAATAATCTTAACTTTATATTCTTGATAACATACTATGTGAAGAACTCCATATTATTGCAAACAATTACTAAAAATAATGCGACAAACATATATGGAAATGTTCTTAGTAAAAATGATAAACTTTTTGAAGGATGAAATGAATAAATGTTCGTTTTTCTCAGTTTTTCTCTTTTTTTTATGCTTTCTTATGAAGAACGTATGTTTAAAATTCTAGTTTCCTTAGAAAAAAATTATTTCAGAAAATGCGAAAAAGATTGCCACGCCCTTCCAATGTTTAAATAGTATATGTGGATGTTAAAGTTTAAATTTCTCTTAACTCATGTTTAAATTCATATATAAATGTCATTTTTAAAATCCCATATAAATGTATCTATATACAAGTGTATACGTCGCAAAATTTAAAAGAAGTTCCTTATAAAGTTACATGTATATAAAAGATTAAACGAGATGATGTATGGAAATGCAGCAAAATTGTCAACGACTAGAATGAAGATTTTAATCGAAATCGTTTATATAAAAACAGTTATTTAAAATGACGGATATATGTACCCATATGTACATGAGTATTTTAGCTTTTCTTAATCATAATGAAGAACTAGTTTGCTAGAATTTTTTTTTCAATAAGGTTAAGAAGTTGAAGAAATGTTTTTGATATGCTCTGCTTTCCATACATTTTACAAAAATCATCATTCAGGAAATTTATTTTTAAATTTTAAACTTAGTCAATTCCAGATTGATATTCTTAAATCTGATGCAAAAATTTCAATATTTAAATATTTTCTTCTGAATTATGAAAGAAGATTTTAAAATTAAAATTACTCATTTTTAAAATCTATAGTACATAATTTTAGATTTAATTTTTATTTTTTTGATTTCAAAATTTTCGCAAATTAAAAGAAGTTTCTTTTTGTTGCGTAACTGCATAAATAAATAAATATGTTAATATCGTATATTAACATTTTTAAAATTTTCTTTATTAATCTAAAGTTTTGAATTTTAGTGAAAAAGTTTTTAATTGTTTTAAAAGTGTGAATTAAATATAAAATTTTTGAATTTGATTTGAGAATTTTTCTTTGAGTGATCTATTTATACTTACATTATGTCTCCAAACGACTTTATAAGTTCTCGGATTTGCTTCTATTTTGCAATCAAAATAGCAATCATCTCCCTCTTCGATGTCTTCTGGATTTAGACTTGAGCCAAGTTGTAATGTTACAGAAGGAGGATCTGTATAAAAGGAAAGAAATTAAAGATTGTATAGAATGAGATAAAATTAATTATTATTCTTAAAATATGCTGTGCATTTTTGTTGAAATAAAAAATTAATTGCAGAAGACAAAAGCGTAAAAAGAGAACCATCACCACATACCGCAGAAATTTCAAAGGGTTATTGTGGTAATTTCAATTCTCATCCCATACATGAATAAAGGAAAGGAATAAATATTCCACAGACTAACAGAGAAAAAGCTGGTATGCATATTGGTAAACATTTGAGAGCTAATGCATTATATATAAAGACATATGTGTAGAACTGTCTCATCACCACATGAAAAACGAGGAAGGAATAAGATAAAGTGCAACTACCATCAAGTTTTTTAAAGCATTTTTCATTTATATGATTGCATCATCATCATCATTATGATGTTTTTAATCTTTTCTCTTTGGGGAAAAAGTATTTGTCATGTCATAAGTATTTTATTTCTCTTTTCACATAGTTGCTGGAAGTACTGATTAACAAAGTAAAATATTTTCAAATAAGGACAATATTAAAACAAGAAAAAATTTAAGTTTTAACAAGAAATAAATTAATTTTGATTTAAAATTTAAGTTTTTATACAATCAGCGCTTAGACTAAACAGAAAAAAATACTTTTTAACTTGCTCTTGAATGTGGGAATTTTTTGTTCACCAAATACGGAAAGGGATTTTTGTGACCAGATTTCCGTTTTCCGCTTTTGCAAATCTCATCTCATATCATCCTTTTGCCTCTCCCCACTGTGCTTATGTTGTCATGTTGGAGAAATAAATAAATTTATTGTGATTTTTTTTTAAAAAAAATATGATTCATTATATGGACAGAGATTTATCCATAAATGGAGATTGGATTTTTTTTTGGTCATATATCGTTATTGTGTTGTTGAGGAGCCTTTCGATGTCACCATATAGCATTTTATTTATATGAAATATGAATTTATTATTTATTTATATTATTTCCCTCAATTCTCTTCGACATCATGCAAAAGGGAAAGAGAATCACATAAAAAGTGAGTATTTACAATTGAAACGATTGATGGAAAAATATAACTTGATGTGTCAATGTGAATTACTATCAATCCCCCTCCCCCTCTTTTGCTCCAAATCTGCAAAATCAAAGCACAAATTTAATTTCAAAATAGAAAAAATATCACGGTTAATACTGTTCTTTCTATTTTTTTCAAATATTTTTGACTTCTTCCCAAGAGAAGTTGGTCAAGCAGATGAATATTTATAAACTTTGTATCGTAAAAAAATTCATTCACTTCACTTTTTTGATTCATATATTCGTAAATGTACATATACAGTATCTTCTACACTCTTTGTTTAATGTAGCAATGCAATATTTTGTCACAAAATATTTTTATTCCGTCATAGACTATAAAAAAGCTAGCATATTTTTTACTCCCATAAAAAAAATTCTTGCAGTCATTCGGTCGCAAGCACATATGTGGTTTTCGAATATCACTACATGTGGTTAAGAGAAACACTATTGAGGCAAATTTTTGAACATATTTAGCGCATTTTTAAAACTCATTTTGAAAAGGTAGATTGAGGTAGATTAACAATCCACTATGTTCGTTCGGCTGCTCGGTCGGGACAGTTAAAACTTTTTACCCAGACATCGTAGAATGCTCGGGATGGTTTTAATAGCTCCGTTACTATCGATTGATTGGCCCATCGAATGATTAAAAGTCTTATACTATAATTAATATTTTTTTTATTTCATATACAAAAGCACGTGATGATTGAGTTTAGAAATTTGAATTTTTTCTACCGTTATTAAAGTTTATTAAGCGTTGGTATATTACACAATGTTGAATTCTGACTTTGAAAGCAGAAATTTACTACTTTAAAGACATCTAGACAACTATTAATGGATGTTATGCTGTACATTCTATCCTCTTTTATGATTCTCCAAGCTTAATTTGACTTGAAAGACACTAATTAGACAGAAAAATTAATATTTTTTATGAAATTAATGTAATATACCAACGCTTACGCCAAATCCGTGAGAAAATGATTTTTAAAAAGCAACTTTTACTCTAATTAAAAAAATTTCTTTGATTAGAATGTTGTTTCTAAAAGTTTAATGGTCATTGAAGATCTTTAACTCATTTTAAAAGGTGTTTGTTTAGTCAAAGTATATTTTTGAAGCAATCAAATTTTTAAAGAACGTGGCTCAAAAATTTATTTTTTTTTCGAATTTCAACTCATCCGTGAAATTACCCTAATATAAACGTGGCGAGAAAATTTAAAATTCATAAAACCACTAAAAAAATTTGAATTTTAAATAACCGTTCAAGCAGTTAAGTGCCTTGCTGGTCAAATAGGTAAGGCGCTTGGCTCAAATTTGGGATGGTAACTGGAAGGTCGTCGGTTCGAATCCAGCCATTTCCAAATTTGTTCTTTTTCGGAAGTTTAGATACTTCGACTGCTTAATGTACGAGATCAAGCCATAATTGGGCATTTGGGCAACGTTGGATTTAGAAACGGGTCAGGAACTTGAATTGTAGCGGGAGAAATAGGAACGAGAGCTACAAGATTACCCACGAATGGAATATTGTTAGAACGGACCTGAAAAGTATCACGTCATGCCCACAGAAGATCGAAACGAGAGCCTTAGTTTATTTGAAACCTAGATATGAAGATTAGAAGTTTGATTCTACATTATACTATTTCATATGTTTACAAATACAAAAGTGTAAAATGTGAATTATTACCGGGCAGTATGTCGTCAATAAATTCAATAAAGTGCAGTTAAAATGAAAAAAAAAATGTTTCTACTTTATTTGCTTAAAAATTGATGATCGCTGTGGGGTAATTCCATGAGTGAAAAAAATTTTAGTGCTCCAATTTTTCAAAAATATTTCCTTAACTAAGAACTTTGTACTCCAAATTGTAACTTTATTATGTTTATTAACACAATATTTATCTCCATATGTGAGAGTTTCACATCAGAAATATGTCTAATTCTTGTTTTTTTAATAAAAGTAAAATTAATCGGTCAAGTTTTCGAAAAATCGTTTTCTAAACATTTCCTAATATTTACTTAAATACACACTTCTATGTTCCAAAGTTACTTTTAACATATTAGATATTAGCCAGGCTTTTGTTTTATGTATAATTTGCATTCCTTAATGCTTTAATTAAGAAGAAAAATCAAAAAAACTAGCATTAATCGGTCAATTTTTGACCGATTATTGCAAAACAGAACACTGAAAAAATTTCAAATTCACAAAAACCATTAGATTTTCTTGATTTTACTTGTAAGTTTATTACATTTATTTGATTTAATTGAGCAAGTAACTAAAGTTTCAAAACATTAAAGATCATGTATATTTGAACCATCTCTCTTTGATGGTATTGCGGCTAATTCACTCGAATAAACAACAAAACGTTTAGAAATTATAACGGTTTTGGGAAATTTGAATTTTTACAAGTAGAGAAATATTGCATAGTGCTTTTTCACAGTTCTCATTACTCATGGAATTACCCTGTGTCAAAAATGCGCTGAAGTCTCTGAAACATAATTGAAAATTGAAAAATGATAAACATATTACTCAATTTTAATATTCAAGCTCCAAAAATATGTGAAATAGCTTTACCTTAGCCGTTTGGTCTTTAAGTGTCAGAAATCTTATGTTTTATTAATATTTCAATATTTTATATTGTAAATCTTCCGAAAATGAATAGTTTGATGTATAACGTGAAGAATAAATTGATTGAAAAATGCTTGTAACTTTGTAAAGACTCAATTACAAGAAACAAATTAAAAAGTGTTCGTTTTTTAATACTCTATAATTTTAAACAACAGAAACTAAAATACAGTAAAATACATTTCCCAAGGTAAATTATTAATGATTTTTGTTAAAAACAATATTTGTAACCGTCAAAATTCAAATTTTTCGTTTGTATACAACAACAAAAATTATTGTTAAAGTAAAATAAAATAAAATTTTCTGATAAAGAAAATCAAAATGACAAGAGAAAAAAGGATAAATTACAGTAGATGAAAAAAACATAAAAAAATAACACTTTTCTCTCATCTGTTCTTAATGCAACATGAAAGAGAATTTTTCATTTTAAAAAAAGCTTTTTGGTTAGATACATAACGTAAAATAAAACTTAAGTGCCTTTAATAAATCCATTAGTAAGCTTCCTGCATCAAAGTAGAAACTTTTACAGAAAAAATATATTTTATCAAAAAAAACCCAACCAACATCCCTATGCACATACATACATTTTTGTTCTCAATTTCATGCGCTACTAAATGGGATAATTTTGCAAGCTCATTTTTCAAAGAAGATTTTCACTTTAAAGCTCTACGTATTATAGGGATCTAAAGTTTAGCATAAATCAAGACACTCGTTAATGAATACGAACAAAATTTTACTTTTTTTAATTTTTTTTATCTTCTCTGATTACTCACTCCTGACATGAAAATTAAATTATATTAATCACAAAAATTATAAAAGGATAGAATTTCTTAAATTCTTTATGAATTGAATGATCGCAGACCTTGCATAAATACAAAGATAGAGATTTTTGGCATAGAAATTTTATAAGACATTCTTTTGGGGACAAAATAATTTTCTTACTTTTTGATATCCTCCTCACATACTCAAAGTTTGTCATGAGAATAAAACTCCCTCTTTATGATTTTATGTTTTTACTATTACCGTACTAGTAGCTTTTTCACTCACACACACGATATATTTGCAATATCATATCCCGAACGGCATTGAAAAACATTGTTTGCCTTGAAGTGAAAATACCAGCTCATGAAAGGCATTTTATTGTTCCCCATACTTGCTTCACATTTACCCTCCTTTCACCTTTCGTGTAATCGTATGTTCACTTGGGAACTATAGAAATATGTTAGCAGTTCCTACAGTTGTGATGTGCGTGTATATATTATTATGTATAAATTTTCTTATATAAGGGGCCCGTCAAAAATAATAGGAATTTCAG